AAAATGATATCATCAAAAATAATTTTGGCGAAAGCAAAACTTAAAAAAATATATAACGAAAATGCTTTCTTAAAGGAAAGTTTTGGTGTAAAAAAAATGTTAGGAATAAACTGTCCAAGGATTCAGTAACTCATACTTTTTTTTGCTGCTTTTTTTTAATTCATAGACAAATGAAGAGAGCAATATCACTGAGAAAAATATGCAAATTTTTTGCTATAAGACAAAGACAACAAAGAATTGCGCAGTATAATATATACTCACATGCAGTGATTGAATGAAATGATATTAAATAAGATAAAGGTCATAACCTCTCTTAATAATATAATTTACATACTTCTAAGGTAATAAATTATAAGCAAAAATAATAACACATTATGATCTATACTTAATCAATTTATATAATCACGTGAAATTAAATTGCTTTATTATTAAAAATTTAGCAGCGAATCAAGATATGCTAAAATGATTTAAATGATTTTGTATAAAATCAAGTAAATTTTTTCAAAAGCTAAAATTACTTTGCTTTTTAAAAATTAATATCAAATTGTGGTAACTTTAATATACTTTACGAAATGCTAAAGTTTTACAATCCTAAACTTTTACTCAACCATAGATAATAATTCTACTGTTGCTATTACTGAAAATAATCACACAACTATATTTACTAAACGTTTATTTATTTATTTATTTATTACTGATTGATTAATTTACTTTTTATTTATTTATTTTTAGCGTAATTCTTTCTACTGTTCCATTATTTTATTATTTTTTTTATATTTTTTAATTTTTGTATCAATAAGTGGCAAGCAAAGGTTTTTAAGCAAATAAAAAATATTCTAAAAATATAATACTGCAAAAAGATTTATCAGTTTTCTATTTCTGATAAAATCTTATATTTTCATTGTATTTTTAAATTCTCTTTTTCTTTTCTGTACAATTTTTAATGAGTAAAATTTTGATTTGAAGTAATTTTACGAATTTTTCTAAAAGTATGACACATGCATACATACAGTGTAAATAGTTTTATTGCACAAATCATTAGTAATAATTTTTAACAATTCTCACTAATACTAATACTTTTTGACAGTTTTTAAAACAGAACACGTAATGAATACAAAAATATATAAAAATGCATTTGATGTCAAAGGATAAACAATGCTCTGTACAAAGTTTACACTGAAGCTTAAGTAAAAATAGATTGATGCTGAAATAGAAATGAAAAATTCACGCAAGTCACAATAAGATTTTAATTATTAATTATTTTGCTTAAGAGTTTGCTTACGAATTATAATGTAATGATGAAAAATTGTAAAATTATTTGAATGCAAAATGAAATTAATAATTTTTATGTTTGTGTTTTAAGGGTTAGAGGTTAGAGGTTACCGTTTAGTCATTTAATGAAATGAAAAAAGTATATTATTTAGATGCAAATGTTAACGCTCGTAATAAACTGATTTTTGAAAAAATTTACTATTATTTCAAAAATTTTCAACAGCTGTCATCTACAAACTCAAGAACGATTAGTTGCGCAGTGCTAAAAGTTTATGCAAATTATAAATATTCCAAAGTTTTGCAAAAATTTGTCTACTAATTATGTTTTAGCTAAATTAAGTCAATGATTTTTAAATAATTAAAAATTTAATAAATTAAATAACTATTCATATTTCCTGTGTGATAATCATATTACTTTATAATAAATAGATTATTAATATTCATAAACAGTAATAGTAGCAAAATTATATTCAGAGAAAAAGCATACAGCATCAAAAATATAAAAAAATAAATTTGGAAAGAAATAATTTTGAATAATTTTAGCAATAACAGTTTTACTAAATATTGTAACAACATTAATATTGAGAATAATAGCAGCATTAATAACTAATAAATAATTACGTGATTAGTCATTCGCCATTATTAGTAATACTTATTATTAGTCATTTGATTTTTTCTCAAATTGATCTGACTAAATATTTATAGTGATTGCCTATTATTTTTAATATGATTGTTTTTTCCAAGAACTCTGATATTATGCATTTTCCTTTCATGGTTAATTTGCATTTTATTTTGCTGCTATAAATAAACTTGACTGAAATGATTTTGTTTAAAATTTTTTAGATTTACAATTAAGGTTAATTAATCTTTTAATATGAAAGTTTAAACTGCGATAAATCTTATATTCTCACAAGCAGAAATAAAAGCTTAGATGAATCAATTAATTTTAATTAATTCCAAAAACTAACTTGACGTTAAAAAACGTCCACTTTGATTTAAGAGCGATGTATTATATTTTCTGAAAAGTTTGAGATTTTTAATTATTCATTGGTAGTTATTAAAAAAAGATTTGATTTGTCATCTTACTAACATATATTATTCATATATTTGCATGAAAAGAGTTATTTTTTAATGAAATGTAAAATTTCAAATATTCTATAGCATACGTGAATGACATTAGCTGACGTTTCTAATTTTACAAAATCAGGAGATATAACATGAAGTTTGTAAGAATTCTTGATCTTTGTAAATCTTTGTATCTGTTGTTTTAGAGTACGAGAAAAAATAATCTGTTCAATTAGCGATTATGAATACTCTACTGATAACAAAAATAATGGTAACAGTAATTAATAATAATAATAGTAATAATAATATCAATAATAACAGTAATGATGAATTCGATAAATGAATGATAGGAATTTTGCATATTCATACGTAACGTGTTATGAATATGTGATTTGAAATTAATGAATCGAAGGGAATTGAAGATAAGTCAAAATACTGCCCAAAAAGTAATTATTATTAAAAAGAAATACTAACTTTGCTCATGGCTGAAAAAAACGGTTTGTACGCAAGGTTTCACATGTGGCCAAACTTCTGTCTCTACGTTTAACCCGACATTTTCTGTTATATTGTCATGTGTGAGAAAGTTCACGTAGTTATCTGCCGAATGAGATCGTAACTTTGTATTTCCAGTAAGGTGCTGAAGATTTAAACTCGTGAAAAAAAACACGCGTAATTGATTAACAAAAATAGATAATTGTGTTCAGAATGTGATGAATTATTTCTTAACTATTCAAAAACTTTTTATTTATTTATTTTTGCGTCAATAAAACTATTCAGCAATTAACTTGAAATCAATACGTGAAAAAATGATTAAAATAATAATTATTATGTTACATAATTTTGATTTATTATTAAAACGATAATTAATTAGCAATAAGATCACTTTACCACATTTGCCTGATCTAACATATTGCCATATTTATTCTCATCCTTCTTGCACAAATTTTGAGTAATTATCTGCTTTGCCCGTTCTTCCCGAATCGCTCGAAACTTTTTCAGTAAACGATGCACCTCTTGCCAGCTGTCCCCATCGTTACTCTCATCTTTTTTAGACATTTTTACTACAAAATTAATTTACTTATACTGTCTGTTTACTGTAAAAGCTTTATCAACGACAAATTCTGTCAAGTAAAATATTCATAATCAGATTGAATTTTTGAGCAGATAAAATTCAATTTTATAGCTATAATTCAGACAAAAATGATAAGAAAAATTTTATGCATTTACACAGTAATAAAGTATTATTTGAATATAACTTCGAAAATTCTCTCATATATAAAAAGATTTAAATCAAATAACTTTATATTTTAAGGCAATTAATTCATTGTTAATTTATTTAAATTCAAATTTATTAATTTATTTTTGTAATATGAAAAGTTATTGCTTTATGTAATGCATTTATTATAAAATATTTTGATGCAGTCAAAATTTGTGCTAAAATTATTCTATTCACATATAATTAAAATTTGTAGCAAAAAATTTGTAAACAAAAAAATTTGGAAAAATAAAATTATTATTCAGTAAAAGACAAAAAAAATGTATGAGTTATACTTTATCTATCTAAAAGTATTTTAAAATAAATCAATACAAATTTTAATAATTTACTACTGATAAAATTTTAATCAAATAACAGCGTTATAAATACATTGCATAGATAATTGTGAGAAGAAAAGAGTTATAGTGTTTAGTGTGACAAAAATGGTCACTCAAATTAATGTTACTTGCATTTAAAAATTTTACAACCAATCTCAACTTTTATACAACATTTATAGCAATTAAATTTGAATATTCAACAACCTCAATTAGAGTTCTTGATAATAATAAGAATAATAATAATAGTAATAACAATAATAATAATAAATAATAGTAATAATAATAGTAATAATAATAATAATAATAAATAATAGTAATAATAATAGTAATAACAATAATAATTGTAATGATAGTAATAATATTAGTGGTAAAATAAATGTGATAAAAATAATAAATGATAATAATGTGAACAATGAATACCTCGAAGTTTAGTAGATGTGTAAGCGGGAAAAATGCTTAACTTCGCAGATTCTGAATGAAACGATCGCTGCTCCATCTGTTCTGCGTGTGATTCATCAAATAATCCATCTTCATCACATATTCCACCATACTACAAAAAAAGCTTAAAAAAATTGCGCATACATTTTGTTAATCATATCATATCATTTTCACTTGTGTAATAAAACTGTAATGTGCTTTTTTAACGTTTGCTATCACAAATTGATAATAAAAAAAATATCAAAAAAATTGCAAAAAAAAAGGCAGAAAAACTATGAAATGATCTAGCAAATGAATAAATTTGAATAATATTCTCTCTTAGTATAATGATATATATAGACAGTAATGAAACTAGATTTATAATTCAATAAATTTGTATTTATTTTATGATATAATTAAATTTACTTTGTAATAATGCCCACACATGATGAAAAAGGTTTTCTCAATACCATTTTCATTGGTAAAATTCAAATAATTATGCCAAAATTCAAATTATAATATTAATATTATCATTAATATTGTTATTAACAATATTAATATTTTGATGATAATAATGATAACAGTAGTAATCATAATTAATATAACAATACTATTACTATTAATGTTAATATATATCAATGTGATCATTATTAATATCATTAATACTGATAATTGTAATAATATTATTATTGTTATTATTATGTGTTAAATAAACTATGAAACTGAAATTCATGAAAATATGGTACACTTGGCTGTGGAAGTGATGGACTTGGTTCTGAGGTAAGTTCTTCCACAATAAGGGGTATTGGTGGGTTGCCATCGCGCTGTGCAAATTCAACTGATATTCTTACTTCACCGTTCAAAACTGGAAGTTGCACATCGTTACTGTCGCACTTTATAACATTGGAATCTGAAATGAAAATTATTGACGCCAAAAAGTCAATTTTAAAATATTTCCACTGTTATTGCTAATCAAATAAATAAATGAATAAATAAATAAAATGTTATGCATTAAAATTGACGCAGTGTTTTCGTAGTTACAATTCCTTTCTTACGTGACTCCACGTTTGCAGTGCTTGGTAAATTAAAAGTTCGTCGGTAACGATTAATGTTATACTGAAAAGAATAAATTATTACAATACGTGAAGCATTTAGAAAGTGAAGTTTTTGTAAGAAATTAAATAAAATTTGTCAGCAGAATAATTTTCAGTATTATTTTTTATGCAGCATAATTTTGTAGTCATTTTTTTGCATAATTAAAAAATTACTATACTTTTGCACTACTTATAATATGATTTACTCAGTGTAAAGGTAAAAGAACCGTTTTTTTAGGAAGAGTTGAAGTAGTAGCAGAAATTTTCTCAAAAATTTCTCGAATTGATTCAATTTTTTTAGCTCGACGATTTGCTTTTGTATCATTTGGAATTACAGTGGCATGGTACAGGTAAGTACCACTTAGCTCAATCGCGTCATTGATCTGTTTAATGACAAAATCACTCAAAATTAGAAACTGTACTTGGTTCTAATTAAGTCACAAAAACTTTTCGAACAAAATATCACTTTTTATATTATAATAGGTATACTGTTCCAAAAAATTTTTTTGAGACTTTTATTTTTAATTTTTTGAAATTTTCAGGAAATTTATATAATTTAAAAGTATTGCTAAGTAATTTAGTTTACAAACATTTAAAAATAATAACTGTTTTACCTCTGTTGCAGGAAAAAGGTTTGACTGCTTATTTTCTTGTTCTCTGCTACAAATTTAATAATTAATTTTACCAAGTAGCAGAAGTTTTATTTTTTGTTCTTGACACAATTTTTGAAGATTGATCATTTCAGATTATGCTAATATTAATAATAATAATTATTATTATTATTAATACAATTATTATTTATTATTGTTACAAATTTAATTATTCGTTAATGCAGTATAGTTAAAGAGTGATAAATTCGCATAAATAATAACTTTCTAAGAATCAAAAATAAATTCAATTTTGTTATTTCTTTTTAAATTAAACTAACTTTAGTTCAGAGGGAAGCATCTGTGTATTACATTGTCGAATTTCTTTAACCATAGCATAAGTATTTTCTGCTAACGATTTACAACGCTTAAATCGTGGAGATCGAATAGGTGGCATGTTATATGAATCTTTAGATAATTGTAAAAATCGAGCACAAAGTTTTTGAACAATTCCTGGCCCATAATTGATATCTAAATTATCAAATGTTATATGTGAAAAGCAGATAAAATTAGTTATTGCAATTGATTGATCTTATAAATTTAATTTCTGATTTTTTATTTTTTTCAACCTTTTTGAAATCTCCCAAAAATTTTTCATGTAATTTAGTTTACAAATATTAACTTTTAGTACAAATTTACCATTATTAATCGATTGTTCAGTCTGCTCTTCAAATTTCAGATTTTGAGTATCCTGAAAATTCAGCTAATACCAATGATATCAGTAGATAACATTTTTGTCCACTCATACAAAAACTACTTTTTTTACAAATTTGACTTATTTTTGTAACAAAAGTAAATTATAAAAGTTGTTAGAAAAATTTGCATAATGCTTCTTTCTAACATATTTGCACATGAATTATATGCAAAAAAGTATTAAATATGAAATAAAACCAACAACGTAGTTTATGGCATCAATATTATTCGAAATCATTTCACTTCTGTAAACTTCGTCAGATGGATTTGATTCCTTCTGAATTAAATCAATTAATTATAAATTTGACACATTTGATCGTTCAAATAAATAATTAAAAATTTACAAAAGTATATATATATTTGAAAAAATTGTTTCATAGCCTAAGAACAGTTAACACTACCAATCGTACAAGAAAATTAACGTTCTAATCTTTTTACTATGAAATCAAAATTGAATTCTAATATTGAACATTATTACATCGTTTTGCTACATAAAATTTTGTTTTAACGCTTTTCATTTCCAATTTTATTCCAAAAAAGTAAATTCATCAAAATGATTTGTAAGCAATAATTGCAAATGTAAGTAATAAAATAATGAAAAATTAATGAAATGAACGATTCTTACTTGAAAGTAACGTAAGTAACTGCTATGTAATATAGCTTGCTCATTCACTTATCAACACACAGAGTGTAATGAATTGATAGAAAATGTAAAATGAATTCTTGGAAAAAATTGATTTCCAGGAAAAAATAGAATAAATATTATATAAATAATATAATATAATATATATATGTAATGAATATTAGCATTAGCAAGTTATATGAAGTTAAATTAAAATTGTAGCTAGTAATTACGCTCAAAAGCTGGCTAAGTGAACATCTTTCTCTGAAAGCTTAACGCTTTTTACGTTAGTCAGAAAGTAATAGCTAGTCCAACCAAACAATCGTTTATTTTTTAAGGCTTTATAAAAATATGTTATAGGTCTTATGGGTCTATTTCAAGGCGTCAGCCACTGCAGGACTAAATATTGCCAAAATTGATTTAGCAGCAAAAGTAGGTACATAATATATGTATATATATAATATGTACCCACCTTTTACGTGATTCAATATATATATATATATATATATATATTAATAGAAGTATTCAAATTCTCCTTTTATATTGTCCTTAGAATTAAATTTATATATAAAATACATTCGGATTTTAACTAATAAATAATTTAGATCATAGGAGAAGTTATTTGTTCATAATCGAATTCAAGATTACAAGGTACAAGTACAAATTGAGATCATGTCAGCTAATGAATTCAATGTATGTTATTCTTGCTTGCAAATATTTAAATTTAATGATGATATGGATGCATTTAATGCCCAAAATTTCTATAATACATTAGTGAATATGAACTATTATTTGTCCTTAGAATTTAAATTTGAAGTTGAAATTTAATTAATCTAAAAATTTAAAAATTATTGGATATAAATTTAAAAAAAGATACAAAACAATGATTGATTAAATCGATTTCAAATTATTACTAATAGACTAATGTTGGTATTAAGTTTTGTTTATAACGACAATTTCAATTTTGGCACTGAAATCAGATTAATTTTACTCTCTTTCTTTCATATACCACTAATGTATGTAGAACAGAACTATTGTCAGACAAATTATTTCGTTTTATTATTTCATATTTATTGTATTTGACAGAGCTTAAGGTCAACTCGCATTGTAAAATGCTAATTTTTCAACGCCATAGCAACCATTCATCGTTATTATTTCAGCTGAATTAGGCTTTTCAATATGATTGATATCAATTATTTTGGTTACTTTATTAATTGATTTTATTAAATTTTTGATAAATTTGAATTGCCATTTTAATAAACATTTCAAAAATCTGAAGTTTTCTTAACAAAAAAGGCTGAAAAGTTTACAGTTTGTTTTATTTCTATCAGAATTTTTACTTACTGCATATTTGGGATTTATATGCTAATTTTTTAAGGTATGATTAAGCCGACATGAAGATAACTTAGTACTTTTAACTGGTTTTTAATTGAAATTTAATAGAAAAATGCTGATATTAAGTTAAAAATTATTATCAGTGATACAAAAAAAAAGCATCTGCCAATGAAACATGTTTACGTTTGAAATTGAAATTTTGGCTTGAATTACGTACATAGCGTACGTCTAAGTCAAATGTTTAAGAAAGAAGAAATTTATGATAGATGAATATTGCGTTGCAAATTTATCCTTTGTTACATTTTCAAAAGTTCAGAAACAGTAATCATTACTGTTGTAAAAACTTCATAAGTTTGAAGAATAACAAGTAATTATTGTGAAAAATTATAGAACAAATCTTAATGTTAAAATTATGACATTATCCTTTGTTTTTTGCCAAAAATTTTTGCTCTTAATTTTTGATATTACTTAAAAATAAAAATACAGTAACTGTAATACTTATTTAAAATGCATGTTTCATTCAGTAATTAATAAAAAATACCAATATAAATCAATAATGCATTCCTCTTATTGCATTAATATATTACAATAAATAATTAGTTAATCATACATTATAAAAAGTTGGCTGAAAATGCTCAAATTTTCAAAAACTTTTTATTTTATAAAAAAGATATTTTGTCTGAAAATAGGGAAAAATTTTGAACAGAAATGAAAATTCGTTTATAATCTGCAAAGTTTTTGAAAAACTTTAAATTTAGAAAGTTGCAGAACGGTTTTTTAGCTTTTAATTTTTAAAAACGAATTATTCGAAAATAAAGTAAATTTTGTCTATAAATAAGTGAAAATTTTGACGTTTTCTACAAAGTTATAATACAATTTTAAATTGTTTGAATTTTCAAAATTCAAATTTACTTACTTGTCTCGATATGCATTTTTGCTTTATATTTTTATTATTTTACTTTTCAAAAAAACAGATATAAAATTTGCTAATACTGCGTCTAATAAAAAGATTTACTAAATTAATTATGCTTTAAATTTAATTATTAATTCCAGTATTTTAATGTATGCTGTATAATTGCATCTTGCAATAATTCTTAACGCTTTTAAACCAAATTATTAATTCAAATATTGTCAAAAATAAATTTTTGCCAATATTTGAATATTTTATTTATGCATTTGCTTATGCATTCTTCGCTACTATTCTTTTCCGCAAACAAAGCAAAATTTAAAAATGAATAAATTTTTAGTTCTAAAATCTTTTTTTGTGCAAACAAAATGTTTTCAATTCAATTTTTTGAATAGTTATAAAGGTTTTTTATGTTTTCTAACAAAACAAATATTTAAAAAATTATTAAACCTTTTTTTTAAAAAGTGTCACTATTTTTGAAAAAACCTTTGTTCATTACTCAAAAATGTAATAGTTTTGAGAGTAAAAAAATTAATTAGGTGCTGGAAAAACTTTTGAAAAATGTCATGAAAATGACAAAAATATATTTAAAAATACCAAAAACGGCTCTAAAGATAATTTATTGATGAAAAGTTAGAAAAAAAAGTAATCGACAGAAACAATACAGTAAATATGATAAAAAAGATCAGTGTATTTTTGAAAAATCAGAATGTTATGGTATTGTAGAATATATTTAAATTGATGGTACTTCAACAAATATAAATGAATTATTAAAAGATAAGTTAAACATGATGAAAGTATTTAATATATGTCTCCAAAATACAAAAATACCACATTCCTATTTGGTTTGCGTTGATTGAATGAGTAAAATTATTACAATAAAAAATTATAACAAATATTTTTCAATTTCGAATTTTTCAAATTCAAGTTTTGCTTGTCAAAAGTATCAGAAAACATTTCTATTTATTCACTGTTAATTAGATCAAGGATTCACTTGCATTGATTAATAAGTTTGAAAAAATTAGTAACCAAAATTCAAATGTGATTTTTCTATTACTTTTGTATAATTACTTTTTAAAACGGACTATTTTATGTTATATTCAGTAAGTTACATATCTTTTTTGTAAATAATTTGCATAT